ATCGTTTCACTAGTGCCTCTGTGGTTAATGTAAGAAAGGTGTTTTGCCATAAACTTTTCTGAGGTATTCAGCAAGGTTGGAAAGGGGTCGGCCCAAGCAGGAAGCCCTTGTCTGTGCCATAAAGAAAATAGCAAGTAACAAAATGAAAGCATCAAAGAACCAACAGGATGCAGTCCCAAGAGTCCTTTCTGGCATGTTGGTCCTTCTTGAAAGTTAGCATTGAGTGAAGAGTGACCTTAAAATTCATTTCATTCAAACAGACTGAGCTCAAGTTTAAAGTTCAAGGCATTTTGTTTTTTCACCTGTTTCCTACAGTTTTAAGAAACTTCTGAAGAATTAATGTGTAACTATATCTGGTCACTGAGCCAACACTAAGAATTTTTCTCAAGGGAAAATAATGTTACTGTATAAAGGGAGAGAAATGGATACGTTTCTTAGTTGCAGGAAAATATTTCAACAAAATAAAACCCAAACGGCTGTTACCATGATCCCTAACATCCCTGGTGCTGCTGCACTCGTATAGTCTCCTTTAAAAATCCCTAAAAAGATCCAATAATTGTCTGAAAAATTGTGGAAAGGATGTTTTATTATGGGATTTACCGTTGGACATATTAGGCAGTGGTTTTGTTTTAGAGACAACCTTGGAATAAAGATTCTAATTGTGACAATCTAATCTGCAATTACAGATTGACTAAGATAACATTTAGCAATAGGTCTGGCCATCACTTTCACATAGTGTTTGAATAGTTAGGCAGTAAGGTGGGGGAGGCACTAAGCAGAGACTCAGTCATTAGACAGGCTTATAAGGGAATACAGTATTTAAACCTTGTTACTGCTCATGTTCAGCACCAACCCTGTTTGTTTTCTAGCATTTTTATAGCTGGCTTTTACGCTAACCCAATTATAGTTTCTAATTTCATGATCCTAAAACCCAGTTACTTTAACTTCTAGTATTTAAGTCTAATCCTGACAAAATGACTAGTGATAGGTTGCATCAACAGTTTGACAGGCTGTCACTCATGGTTAAAAGAAATAATTTGAAGAGATGACATACAGATTTCACTCACATTTTCCCATGTCATTAAAATTTAATGACTGTAGTATGAATATTTCATGAAAGTACTTTTGAATGGGTTTGTTTTGCCCAGGAAGCTAGTGTACATTATAGGCTCTGATTTTCTGTAGTCTAAGGTAGTAAAGGTATGAAGTGTCAAACTGGATTACCTGAAGAAGCACCTTGTTTGTTTTCACTGTTGAATATTCAGTCTAGGACTACAGCCTAGAACTATTTTTAGAGTGTGGTTTAGCAGTTTGTTGAAAGTCCTAAAATTGGATCCTGCTCTTTAGTCTTCTTGCCACAAGGTGGCTAAAAATGTACTTAAATCAGACAAAATATAACTATCAGAAATTATGCTAATAATTTCTAACGGTTTCTGTGATGCAGTAAGCAACAACTAGGGTGGGAGACTGGATTTATTGTTTATTATGCAGAGAACTGTATAACTTGTAGTCTCCTGTAAGAACATTCAGCAACTATCTTCATCAAGTACATATGTTCACTGCTCTTGTTTGGACCATGGTTAATTTTTTTTACAAAAGTTTGGCCAGGATTAATGATTAGTTTTAAAGTGTATTTACTGCAAAGCAGTGCAACAGCTTTTTATTGTTGTGTGTTTTAAGAAGTCACATTTTTTGAGGCAAAGCAGCTCAGGCCTTGATACATTAGACAAATATGTTACATTTAGATGAGGGACTGATTGAAACTTCCATTTCCTAGTTGATCTTTACATGGTAAATTCCCTTTTTTAAACATCATGTCACAAACTGGAACTTTTAGCAGAAACCAAAGTGGTAAATGGTGTGGAGTGCTGGGACTGCATTAGCTATTTTAAAATAGATTCAAATGAAATGATACTAAACATTCAAGTACACTTTGATAGAAGAAAATGTGCTGCATACATTTCTCATTTAACAGTCCTCCCACTAGAAACTTTTTCAAAGAGTAGCTTCAGATGTACAGTAGGGAAAATCTTTTGTTTAATGGAAATGAAGCATATCTTTTTCTTACAGATGCACCATTTACTATTGAGCTTTTTGTGTGCATTTTAGTTTCTCCTTTTATATTTTAACTTATTAACTGTGACAAGTAACCTCTTGGTTGTGAACAATTTAATTCACAATTCATTTTTCTGATTCAAAGTGAACACAAGTGCCCTAATCCCCTAATGGGAATTAATTGCATGTTTCAGTGCTTAACTCTGATCCTTTCTCAATCCCTACTGGGACAAGTTTCTTCCTGAAGGATCTGTGTTTGTTATTCAAAACACAAGCTGAAAGGTGATGATTTTTCTTATAAAAGGGAGCCAGAGCAACCGAATATTAATGTTCTTTTTATTGTAAGGGAATGAGCTGTATCCCAAAACTCATTTGATGTCATGAATGGTAAATTATACTGAACTAACTTGACAACACACAGACCAAATCAGTGTGATCTCCCTCCCCCCCCCCAAGTGGGGGGAAAAAGTTTGGTTTTTATTTTGTTTTGGGCCAATGATATAATATTGTGGAAGTAGTCATTTTTTTCCTCACTGAAGTAATAGCATTATTCTAATGGTCAAATGGGCTGCTGGCTGTTTTAAATGACAATCCTGTAGACCAATAATGTGCTCTTCTGAATAGTCCAGCTCTTCCCCATCTGCCATAAATATTTGGTAGGTCACTAAAATAAGAACAATTAGCAGAAAACACGTTAATTCAATTTTGCTTTTAAAGGTTTTCTTACTATTTGAGTTTTGTCTAATAAACCTCTTTCAAAAAGGAGTGTTAGGCTCACCTCTGTTAGGCTGCCAGACTGCTATGTTGGGTGAAAATGAGACAGTCTCAAGGCAGCTTAGTGACTGATAGTGAAATTTGGAAGCGCATCAAACAGTTTGAAACTGCATTTGTTACACACACAAAAAATGGGGGAGGAGTAGATAGTCTTGAAGATAGCCAAGGAATGATGAAGCTAGGGTTTTTGTTTTTTTTTTTCATAAAACCACCCCTTTCTTCCACACTAAGCCCTAGGGCTGTTATACTCAAAAATAAAATGAAGATTTAGAAAAATTCAAGTGACACTCAGGAGTGGTCTAGGCAAGGTAATGTAAGTTAAGGTTGAAGTGCATTGGCAGAACTGGATATGAGGATTTGGCTAGGGACTGAACAACATTCTGTACTTGCCTTCTACACCAGCTGAAATCAGGCTGTTGTTTCACTTTCATGAGCACTGAAATTCACCATTCGCCCCTGCCCCCCAAATGCTAGGTGTAAATCATAACATTTGTACTGTTCATTCAGAAAAGAAAGGACTTGTAGTTGATAAGCTTGTGAGAACACTGTCCTCTGGTACTACCCAGTCTGTAAATTGTTTGTCATTTAATAGTTATTACAAGCACCCCGGAGCACCTTTTTCTCTACATGTCCTTGCACTTGTGACCATTGCTTTCAACTATCAGTGACTCAGTTGTGATCTAATTTTCCCTGCATCCCCCCACAAATCTGGTATTCCTATTATTTTCACTCTTTGAATTCACAAATGCTGACTCACAAAGCTGAGGTTACAGAAGATTCTTCAGCACATTACATGAAACAACCCCACATCATACTATACTTTTGCCACTACACTTCTGATGTGCCTCACTTTGGGACATTTCCTTCTGTTTCTGAGCCTATTGGCACCGTTGTAAAATCCTCTCCAATCACTGGTGCTACTCATCCTCTGTTTCCTAAGGCCAGAGCTCAGGTTACTGCTACTATAAACATCAAGGCTCTGTTCTTGCTTTAATGTTGGGACCAAGCTTGCAGCATCCTATGGAAAAATAAGCCTTATTGTCTCCTTCTCATCTAAATGCTCTCGTGCAACATAGCATGATGATGTGATGCTATGTTCAAACACTTCAATTTTGCTTTTAAATGACTAACTCCACACCACTGTGTTATCCTGTGTGACAAGTAGCCATGCAAACATTCATGCTGAAATGTATTGCTTCTGTTCTAGGGCAGCAGTGCACTTTCTTCAGTGTGAAATAAGGACTCTCAAATGTGCTGTGAGGGTAGCCACACACTTTTCCTCTGTTGAGGTGGAAAGCACCCAAGTGGCTATGACTCACTCAATGTTATCGCTAGTCCCAATAAATCAAATGCAGTCTTAAAACCTGCTACACCCAACTGTCCAAACTGTGATAATTAGCAGAGGAACAGACAGTTAAAAATGTAACTGCTACTGTACATTTCCACATTGGTTTCGGTAAAGGACATGTAAATTGTAGTGCAGTTGTTTTGGTAACTGAAATGGCTCCCCAGGTTGCTTTTGGTTTGTCACAAAGCATCATAGCACAGTAGCATTAGCATTGCTGTAGCAAGGGTCATGTAAACATGTGAAAGAGCCAAGCTATGTTCTAGTTCAGGGGTCGGCAACCTCTGGCACCGGCGGGAAGCTGCGGCCAGTACGTCTCTCAGTCCGCGCCACTTCCCGCAGCCTTCATTGGTCTGGAACGGCGAACCGCAGCCAGTGGGAGTAGCGATCGGCTGAACCTGCAGAGGCGGCAGGTAAACAAAGTGGTCCGGCCCGCCAGGGTGCTTACCCTGGTGAGCCGCATGCCAGAGGTTGCTGACCCCTGTTCTAGTTTCACTATGGTTCAAAAATACATTTGGTCACTATTGTGGCTGCTGTAGTGAAAGAATGGAAATTAATCTGTTTATAGGAAAGAAAATGAAAGATTAATAGAATTTTCCCAAACAATTTTTATGCTGGACTTGAGCACAATGGATAGATGCTGTTGCTGCAATTTATCTGTTTAAAAATTATCATGTAAGAAAATTCCCTTGCTCAGTTATCGTTCCAGATAGTTGTGTGTGCATGTACCTTCAATGCACATTGTACACTGAATTTTCAATTTAATATATTGTATGAAATAGATTATTAGTAATAGTTATTTTTGTCTGTTTCTTCTGTAGGTAGAATGGCTCGTGTTTTTGCGTATGGAACCCTTAAAAAAGGCCAGCCCAACTACCAGCACATGGTAAATGGTATCCATGGGAGAACAAAATTCCAAGGCAGGGGACACACCGTGGAGAAATACCCTTTGGTGATTGCAGGAAAATATAATGTTCCTTTTTTGCTGAACATCCCAGGAACTGGACACCATGTTACTGGAGAGATTTATTCTCTTGATGACCAGATGCTGCAATTCCTTGACGAATTTGAAGGTTGCCCAGACATGTATCAACGTACTCCAGTGAGAATTGTAGTAGTAGAGTGGGAAGGTAAAAGCAGTGCACCTGAAGAGAGGCCAGCTGTTAACAGCATTATGGAATGCTTTGTGTACAGCACAACTACCTACCAGCCCGAGTGGATAAATCTCCCTTACTATGACAATTATGATTCCTTAGGGAATCATGGTCTTCATTATGTGCTACGTGAAAGTAGAGATTAAAAATGGAAGGTAACACAATGTATTAAGAAAATGCACTAAACACATGTTGATCACAAGCCTCTCTCAAGTAAATCTAGAATACTTTTATTGAAGCACCTAAGACCTTTTGTAACCTTTCTAACCACAAAAGCATTGATTCTAACATCATTATCATAGAGATACAGACTCTAATGCCAAGCCTGGCAAAATTTTACTTGTTCCCTCGGCCAAGATGAATAATTGTTTTTGATGGGTGAGTAAAATACTTTGTGTTTGGGTTTTTTCTTTCTTTTGTAAAATCAAGGTAAAAGGGCAGCTGAGTAGAAGGGTTTTTCAAGCTAACTGGTAAAGTTTCATGTCAGTTTTCTAAAACTGGTAAAACAATAGTGCTACTGCAAGATAATGAAATATGGCTGATTTCAGTATATTGGAAAAACAGCTCAGATTACTTCACGACAATCCGCAGTCAGTATATGTCTCAAAAGAAAACAATTACATCTATGTCAAATGCTGTAAGAAAAAAAAAAGTGATAGAAAAAGTAGTAAAGAGAATTAAAAAAGCCTGAAAATAGAATGAACTTCTCACTGTGAGGTGTAACCAACTGTACTGAATTTTGTCTGTTAAAGCTAACTTGATTGTAACAATTGTTTGTAAAATCCACTGGGTTTATAAAATGTATTAGGATAAAATCTTGGGAATGTACAGGAGTTAAATTTAAAATGTTTTTATTTTGTCCCACTAGACCATACCAGCACTTTTGGTGCCATTACAGTCTACTGAGTAAATGTGTGCTCAGGGACTTTGTAAAAGCTGATTTTACCTGCCCAATACATTATAGGACTGTTTTAGCAAAGTACTTAGTGATATAATAGCTCATAACTCTCTAGGAAATCTTTAATGCAAAAATCACAAATACATGAAACTGAACTGTTTTTTTGTAAGCAAAGACCTTTTTTTAATATTTTTTAAATGTAAAAAAGGATTTAGTCCTTTTTTTCTTTTGCATTATTTAGGCAAACACTTTTTTCTCTTGCCGCTTGATACCCAGTAGGTCCTCTACTTTGCATGTAATATTCACAGAGCACATGCTACATTCATTGTACAAACCTGTCAATGAGGGGAGGGTGTGTGTGTGTGAAATGTAATCTGTAGAATAAGCCAAATTACACTTTGTGTGGTTCCTTGCACTGGGGATACAACATCAAGGTTATATACGAGGGATCGGCAACCTTTGGCATGCGGCTTGCCAGGGTACGCCCCCCTGGCGGGCTGGGCCAGTTTGTTTACCTGCCACATCTATAAGTTCGGCTGATCACGGCTCCCACTGGCTGTGGTTCGCTGCTTCAGGCCAATGGGGGCGACGGGAAGCAGTGGCCAGCGCATCCCTCGCACTGCTTCCCGCTTCTGATGACAATGGGAGATTTGCACACTGATCCAGGGAAGAATACGTTCTTATTAAATAATTGTAACATTGTTGTATGCAGAATCGCATGGAAAAATTATACAGGGTACTTTTAACCATGCCACTAAGATCAATAGGGCTTTTATTTCAGGCTGCCTGACCGTTTTTCTTCAAAACTGTAAGGGCTAAAAACATTTTTACTGAAACTTGGAAGAATCTTGTATGGTTTCTTGCTAAATATCTCAAGCAGACAGTTCTATCACATACTGCTGTAAAACTAGGACATTGGAATGGATACACCGTTGAATACTGAATTAAGTATAGTGATGCTTGACCAAGTAAAGTGGTCTGAGTATAGGACAGGGAGGGGGCATGTCTACATTACAATCTAGGTTAGTAATTACTGGGGTGGCTGATGTCCACGCTACTCACCAGGAGCACTTCCATTGAGTGAAGAGAGGCAGTTGGGGGGCGGAGACCCAGGGCTCTCAGCTCTCCAATAGGATCGGGGGGAAGTCACACCCAGAGTCCAGTCAGGGAACTGAGAGCCCCGGGGGAGACAGCTGATGTAAGTAACATAGTGTCTACGTTGACACTGCGTTGCCCTAACTACACAGCCATAAGCCCTATGCCTCTGGTGGAGGTGTAGTAGGTATCCTATTGGCTAGAGTAAGGCTGTAGTGTAGACAGTGACATAATTAGGTTGACATAAGTTGCCTGATGTTGACCTAACTATAGCATAGGTTAGGGCTTAGTCAGGATAGGCTTCAGGCCTGCCTGAATTACTCTTTCTGTGGCCTTAGACAAATCACTAAGGGCTTGAGGTAGAAGTAACTCAGAAATCAAGGACATACTCTCAGCCAAACTGGAGATAGCCCAGTAGTAAGGTTCTAATGTCACTTTCACCCTGAAATGAAAATACCTCTTGGATCAAACATTTCAAGCAAAGTGGGCCTTTGACTTTCATTTTCTGTTAGAAATTTACCTAAATCCCATTGAGGAAAATTTCTCTCTAAGTCACTTAAATAATTTTGAAAATTTTACCCTTCTCCATTATGGAGGGGCTGCAGGCATGCTAGATAGGAGGAGGAGATCTTTATAGTAGCTAACCATTACAATTACTAGAGACACTAGGAGAGAAACTGGTGGCATTCCTACCCAAAGCAAAATAAACTACTACTACTCCCCTTCTAGGGACTCTCTTGGGTAGCAGTACAATCCAGAGCAGGGCTGATGACAGAATTAGGCTCACGGGATAAACACTTGAACTGAGACTGCAGCAACCAGGTTTGTGGGAGCTGCACACAGCAGGCTTAGGGTTTAATGCAGTCTTGTAACTGTGGGTGGGGTGGAAAGAAACCTCTGCAAAACTACCTAAAGTGAGGATTCAGCTCCATGGCAGGCAGTCTTTAAATGTGGGACCTGTTTACTTTCAGGGTGATCTCTGCCATTCAAGAGAGCAGGGGTGCTGCTGGTCAAAGGTCAGTAACCACTATCTACAGCGGCATGTTAGGATGCTGGAGAAATTCATTTTAGTTTGGAATAGAGTATAAACAAAGATCCAACTTCAACTGATGATTCAAAGTAGTTTCAGATTTTGTACAACTTTCTTTCCCTCTGGTTATTTGTAAGTAAAATAATGCAATTCTTATACTGCAGCTTTACAAGAACATGTTTAAGCAGAGCATAAGTTACCAGTTTGGTAACAACTTTCAGTAAACACTCTGGCTCACGCTTCCTTTTGCCTGCAGTAGACAGTAATCACAAATGCTCTTTTGTTTTAAAACCAATTGAAAATGTTCTTCACAAAATACACCTGACTACTACCTCAGCTGGCCTGAGGCTCTAGAAGTAATGTGAGGGGGGTTTTCACCAGGAATCACAGTTCTTTCAGCTTTGTAAGAACCACAGTAGGTTACTGGAGACATACATACATTCATTTTTACCCGTCAGGAATATAGACTTGCTTCTCTTCCTTTATAGCATCAACCAACGATGGACTATGTTTAGAATATCTGCTGCATTTTTTTTTTGTCTTGGTGCTGGTAGACTTGTTCCACATTTTCCAATTTACAGACATTTTCTAGGTAGAGGCTTCAAAATTCTATGCCTTACAATGCATCTGAACAGAAATCAAGCACTTAGTAGTTATTGTTTAGGGGAAATTGCTCTGTTTACTGGCAAAAAAGCCTCCGGCCGCGCCCCCCCCCCGCGCGCAGCGGGGGCTGTGTGGGGCCAGAGCCCCGGGGGGGAGGGCGAAGTGCCCAGCCGGGGCTCCGCTCTCCCCGGCGGCCAGGGGGAGGGTGCTGGGGGGAAGGGCGGCCGGAGCCCTGGGAGGAGGGCGGAGTGCCCGGCCAGGGCTCCGCTCTCCCCGGCGGCCAGAGCGCCGGGGGGAGGGCGGCGAGCCCCGGCGCTCGGGGCTCCGCTCTCCCAGGCGGCCGGAGCCGGAGCACTGCGCTGCCCCCCTCCAGGTGCCGCCCCAAGCACAAGCTTGGTGGGCTGGTGCCTGGAGCCGGCCCTGTGTACAGTGGAGCTCATGCACATTTGAAGTGGCAGTGGCTGACATTGAATATTATGTACTTTAAAATACATTCAAAGAGGCTTTACTTAAGCAGAAATGTTCAATTTTTATTGATTTGTATTTGATACTGAAAATCGGGAGAATTATAAATCTTATATGTACAATTATTTATAGAAATAAAAATCTGACATCCATTGGTGGTCTTAATATTTGTCTGCTAGATAGAGAATGTCACTCATAAATACGACTGTATAAAATTTGCTCCATAGGAATGTCTGTTTCACAACCTTCATTTTACATGCTGGATATAAATAAAGAGTTAATTGAACTGTGTGATGATATGAAGGAAGCATGTTTCATTCCAGTTCGATGAGCAGATCTCCTTCCCCAACAGTCTCACCAGCTTTACAGTGCACAGCTTTCACCTACAGTGTGACGGTGACAAGAATTATTAAATCGTCCCTGAAAACATGGCTGTGTAAGTTCTTTAGCATGCGCAACCTACACTAGTGCATATACCTGAATGTACAGTACATACACAGAATAAATGACGGATTGCTGAGTCAGTAAGAATACTATACTATAATACCTAGTGCTTTATCAGTAGATCTCCAAGCCCTTCACAATCTTAGGGTGACACTTTCTGCAAGACAGCCACACAACCTTAATACTACCCCAGAGAGATGTCAAGAAGAACTCAGAACATCACTGTTACCCCTTCCTAAAAAAATTAAAAATAAAATAAAAAGTAAAAATAAAAAGGTTAAAAAGAAGTCAAAGAACCATAGTTGTCAAATAAATGCAACTGTATATTCAGTTTACTCATGTTCACAAAGTCAATTTCCTGACTATTTCTTTCTTTTCTTTCTTTTAACTAGTCCCACATACCCAGTATATGGGATTGCAGAGTATAGAGCATGTTTTATTTCAATATGTACAACTCAACATCTTGTAGTAGCTGAAGACCCTACACTGGCAAGAACATAGTGGGATTTTTTTTAAAACAGATCTTTATTTCTAAATCAGTTTTCCTCAAACCTGCCAGACCCATACATCTGAATCTTTTAAATAGCTACTTTTAAATTCTGAATGCAAAAAGATCCCCCAAAATTAGTGTGAAAACACTTTACTTAATTAAAAAAACCACTTGTCTGTTCTCACAGCAGTTTCAGCAAATAGGATCCCCTATGCTTTCTGAAATTTACTGGAGTCACCTTGGCCAACGCCTATTTCTGACACATGTAGAGTCTAGAACCTTCATCAGGCAACCAAATTGCTCCCTCATTTTTATTCATTTTGCAAATTAAATAAAACCCAAGCCACTTGTTTTAGCAGTTCAGAATATAAAAATGGATTTTGGATGTGGAAGACAATTCAGAGGAAAAAAGGGAAACTGAATATCTTCCAGCTGAAACCAATGAAACTGCGGCATGAACTAGATTCAAAGGAACAAACCTAGTCCAGCACCAAGAGTACCAAAACACATCTCTGCAAAGGCATTAAGTTGTATTTGCTGTGGGAACCGTAACTGTGAACTTTAGAATGTTTGACCATGTCATTGTTTTTCACATTCGATAAATAAAATAATTACATTCTAATAGCTTTAGTGAACTGACACTGTTTTACTATCTACATCTCCAAATTGTTTTTATTTTCTTAAATTACATCATTTTATTTTAAAATGGAGATTCCTGTGGGGGTATACAAAGAGACCACTTAGAGCTTAGATCCTACTTAAATCCTGCTTTAAAGGTTTAAGAGGGACATAAATGACATATTGGGCATGGTACAGGCCAAATTTTACCCATATGCAGGGGGGAAGGGCATCTGGACAGAGGAATAGAACATTACTGCTATCAGGAGGTGTGCAGGAACTTGGGAGGAAGCTCAGAGTCTGGCTAGGGGGTCACAAAATGAATCAGTCAGAGCGAAGGCAAGGGTGGGAATATGTAAAGGTTAATTTAAACTAAGAAAGAAGGAAAATAGAATTTAAGTAATCACTGCAATATGAGAATAGATTAAAAACTGAGTAAATAAATGAGAATTAAGGAGAAACAAGTAAAGATCAAAACTAAACTGTAACAAATATTAAAAGTGAAAAGTAATAAATGTAAAAAAAATTAAACCTGGTCTTACAGCAAAAGAATTAATACCAAGAGGCTAATAGTCAAAGGACAACATTACAGTAATAGGAAAGAACGAGAGAGGCATTCACGTTGCTCTCTCGTCCTCTTGCCATATTTTGTTTATCTAGGTCATGGTCCTGTCTCAGGATCTGCTAGTATCACAGTACATGAAGTTAAACATGTATGTGTTTGCAGGACTGAGGTCTTACATTGTTTATTCTTTGCAGCA